AGTGGGAGGGCAAGTATAGATAGGTCCTTTCTTTGGCAAGTTACAGTGACTAGTATCTTGATAGCATTTTTAACTCAGGTGAAGTAAGACATTACAGACGTCTAAGACCAGACATTTTGCACCAAAGTTGGGAGCGAATGTATAGCTCAATGATGATGTGTTTAACTTTCACCAGTCTGTATTGGCCTTCCTGAGGCCAGGTCCCACGCCTGTCCTAACCGCCTCAGGCGCGCGCGCCCTCACTCTACCCAGCGGCTCTCCGGCCCCCGCGTTGGAACCCGGCGCCTGTGGAAGGGAAGGGGCGTGTGACGCCGACGCCGTCGCCTAGGGCAGCGTTGCAATTCCGGCCTGACGCTGCCTAGTTTTTGTCTGACCGCATGCCGAGCCCGCCTGTCCTCAGTTTCCCCAAAGCGGAGAAGCCATGCTGTCCTGTTTCTTGTTCCTTTCGAAGAACATCAATGCCTCGCTGGTGTCCCTACATAGAGCGCGCCGCGGCTTCGCGCTCCCGTCGCGCTGGGCCCCGAGGCGCTCCTGGGGTCCCTGGCCGGCTGCCCCCTGCCGCCCGCTGGCCGCCTCTGCCTTCTCCTGGGATCCTCCCGGGCTCACCACCCCCTCCAGGGTGCGCCAAAACTACCACCCCGAGTCGGAGGCCGCCATCAACCGCCAGATCAACCTCGAGCTCTACGCGTCTTACGTGTACTTGTCCATGGCCTATTATTTCTCCCGGGATGATGTGGCCTTGAACAACTTCGCCAGGTATTTCCTTCACCTGTCCCGAGAGGAAACAGAACATGCGGAGAAACTGATGCGCCTGCAGAACCAGCGGGGAGGCCGGATCTGCCTGCAGGATATCAAGAAACCCGACCTGGATGACTGGGAAAGTGGGCTGAAAGCCATGGAGTGTGCGCTGCTCTTGGAAAAAAATGTGAATCAGTCGTTGCTGGAATTGCACGCTCTGGCCTCAGACAAAGGTGACCCCCACCTGTGTGACTTTCTGGAAACTAATTATCTGAATGAGCAAGTGAAGTCAATCAAAGAACTAGGAGACCATGTACACAACTTGGTTAAGATGGGGGCCCCAGATTCTGGCCTGGCGGAGTACCTTTTTGACAAACACACTCTTGGAAGTGAAAACAAGCAGAACTAAGCCACCAGCTGCCTTCCTCACCGCCCAGTGGGTTGAAGGACCCAGAGTCAGCTGTCTCTTGCCTACTTGTCCTTTAAATACACTGAACTGAAACTTCCACCTTTATATTCTTCTCCTGTTAAACTGGTCCTCAGAAAATGTGTTTAGCCACATGTTAACAGCGGCTTTTGGGCCAGCATCAAGATACTTTTTTACTCAACCTGAAAGGTAGCTCAGGATAATATGGTATAAAAAGAGCTGCAAAAAAATAAAGAAGTAAAATACTGAAAAGTAGATGCAAACTAACTTTCTGCAGATAACAATTATTTCAGACCATGAAACTACACTTGCTTATAATCTTCGAGACCTTATGTTCAAGGCTGAATGGGAAAATGTGTAAGATAAATATACCCATAACTATAACAAGATGAAGAATAAATATAGTACTGCAAAAATTATACATGCAAAAATTCATTAACAACTTTTCCTAAAGTGTGTTCCAAGAAGCATTAATGTCCAGAGATGATCTGTTTTTGGTTTTTAAAAAGATTTTGTAATAAATTTGGGACAAGGTACCTAAGGTATAAATTCTGGCCTTGAAAAGTCACACTGTGTATTTGTATGTTAAGGGCTCTGGGAAGTCTTGCAATTAAAAACAAATCACAAAAAACTTGAGAGTATCCAATTTTCGAGTAGCTCAGTGTTTCTCAAACATATTCAATTAATGATGATAACAGAACAACCAAAGTCTGATTCCTGATTCTATACACTTCAGCCTCCCTTCTAACATACCAGAGGAGTGAATACACTGCAGAAAACATCTTTCTATGACCTGTAAAGAAACCCTGGTGGTATAGTGGTTAGATGCGACAGCTGCTAACCAAAAGGTCGGCAGTTCGAATCCACCAGGCGCTCCTTGGAAACTCTATGGGGGCAGTTCTGGAGAAAGAACATTGGGTTGGAAAAGTCAAGAAGGGCTCCAGAATGAAGGAGGCATCCAGCTGGACAGATGTTTTCTTTAGAGGAGGTTGGGGTGAGATGAGTGGGAGAATATTTGGCGAGCAGACATTGGGCTAGACTAGAGCACTGGGTGGTGTTTGCAAAGCTGATTTGGGGGGCATCAAGTGGTGGTGAGTAGGAGGGGCTTGTGTTTAATTCTGTGGGCAACAGCAATGCCTTCAGGGGCTCTCAGTAGAAGAATACTGTGATAAGAGTTGAGCAGTAAGAATCTTAATCTGGTTGTACAGAATAAAAATCTGAAAACAATTTAAACGAGTGTTAGTTTAGGTCCCCAGAGAAGCAGATACCAAGGTGGGATTAGATGTGCAAGGACTTTGTAAGGAGGAACAGAAAAGCCTCCAAAAGAAAATTGGGAAGAAACTAGGAGAAGCAAGAGCAGTAGTCAGACCCCATGCAAGTCTGACCCCTAGGGAGGGAAGGAAGGAAAATTGTGCATATAGTTCTAAGGAAAGTTCTGCAAAGCTTTTGGGGAGACCTCCAGCCAAAGTTGCTTGTCAGAGGAATTCCAAGTCTCCCAGAAATGGGGCTGCCCAAGTACCTTTCCAGCATTCAGATATTGACTGGGAGCAACCCATAGGAAGTGTGATCTTGAAACAAACTAAGTGATATATCTGAAAATAAAAGAGTTGATAGAGTTTAGAGGCAGAGTTTTTTGTTCTTTTTTTGTTTTGTTTTGTTTTTAATTTTGCTACTGACTCATTGGAGGGAGTTACAGAAATGTGGTAGGGGAGTAAAGTTGATGGGCATCAAGCCTGAGTGACTGGAGAATAGGGGATTTGAGAATAAATAAGGATCTCAGCAGGAGCAATAATTGGGGGTGGACAGCACATAATGATTTTGTTTTTGATTATGTTGATCAATCTCACTTTTATCCTTAAGTGGGCCTATTCTGATGCCCAGGGATCCTACTACATTACTTCAGAAAATTTCCCCTTCAATTCTTCTATAGAAGTGTTTTTCAAACCACAAATTGTAGCCCATTAAAGTGTCATGAAATCATTTAGTGAGTCACTATCTGCCTTTTGTTAACAAAATAGAAGGGAAAATATTAGAGCATGACACGTGAAATAGGGTATTGTCTCTTGAAATTCTTGTTTCGATTGTGTGTGTGTTTATGTATTTACATCCTAGGTAGTGATATTTCTTATTCTGTGCTGCTATCAAAAAAAAGTTTAATAGCCCCATCCTAGAGTCCCTGTGTGACGCAAACAGTTAAGTGATCCACTACTAGCTGAAAGGTTGGTGGTTCAAACACACCCAGAGGCACCTTGAAGACAGGCCTGGTAATCTACTTCTGAAAGGTCATAGTCTTGAAAAACCCTATGGAGCAGTTCTCCTCTGCACACACGGGGTTGCCATGAGTCGGAATTGATTCAACGTTAATCAACAACAACACATAACTATTTTACACATTTTCAACCCACTGCTGTTGAGTCAATTCCAACTCATAGCAACCCCATAGGGTTTCTGAGGCTGTAAATCTCTACAGAAGCAGACTGTCACATCTTTCTCCCGAGGAGCCACTGGTAGTTTCAAACAGCTGACCATTTGGTTTGCAGTACACATTCTCATCTCTCCTCAAATCCAAATCCCTGCCCCACCCCCCACCGTCAGTTGATAATCTTCTTATTTCACTGAGAAATTAGAAATAATCACATAAGAACTGTACACTTTCCAGTCATTGAATTAATCAGATAATTATATCTGTATTCACATACTGGTCTCTCTGTTCTACTACAATGGTTGAAGCACCCGTGCTGCCTCCTGAGGCCAATATTCTACCATGTTCTGAATCCCAATCCTTCCACATTCTCCAGAATACAAGGACATTACACCTACAACTATTCTCTCTCTTGAATTATCAATTTTGCCTTTTCTAGTCGATGAGTCCCATGAGGATACAAACATGGTGTTATCTCTCTTTATCTTTTAAAAAAAATACCACCTTTAAACTCACATTCCTTCCGGTAAACACCAGCTCTCTTTTACAACAACACTCTTAGAAAAAGTTGTTTCTGCTACATTCTGTCTCCACTTCTTCTGTTCACTGTTGATCGCTGCCAAGTCAGACTTTGTTCACCACCACACCAATGTTTTTCTCTGTCAATGACTTTCGTTGTTGTTAGCTACCATTGGAGTCAGCTCTGACTCATGGCGACCTTATGTATAACAGAACAAAATGTCGCCTAATCCTGTACCATTTTAATGATCGTTGGTATCTTTGAGTTCATTGTTGTTGCTATTGTGTCACTCCATCTCATTGGGGGTTTCCCTCTTTTTCACTGATTTTCTACTTTACTAATCATGATGTCTTTTTTTAGAGCTTGATCTTTCCTGATGATGTGTCCAAAGTAAGCAAAAGACCAAAAAACAAACAAACCCCTTGACGTCGAGTCAATTCTGACTCATAGCAACCCTATAAGACAGAGTAGAACTGCCCCATAGGTTTCTAAGGAGCAGCTGGTGGATTCAAACTGCCAACCTTTTGGTTAGCGACCAAGCTCTTAACCACTGCGGCACCAGGGCTTCAAAGTAGGCAAACATGTTGTTAAATCCAGAAGTCTTTTCTCAGCCTTGCTCTTACTTAGCTCTGTGGATGGATTTGTAAATTATTTCTTGAAATACTTGCTTCTCTTGGTCTCAGTGCACCTCTCTCTCCTGGCTCTCCTCCTCCCTCACTGGCCTCTACATCTCCGTCTCCTTTTCTGATTCTCCCAAGTCTTCCTTATCTTTAAACATTACATCTTCACATCTGGAAGTCTTCTCTTCTGTATCTATACTTGCTCCTTAAACATCTCATCCAGTCCAATGACTTTTATTTAAATAACATATATTTGTTGAAAAATTACCTGTTTATCTAGATTATTTGACTCCTGCTTTGAACTCTAGACTTATAGAATATATCTAAATACTTAATTGATATTTTATCTCAGATGTCTAATATCTAATATTGAACATGTTCAAACCCGTACTCTTCATTTCACCACCCCCCAAAATCTGCTTCACTTTATAACAAATGTGTGTGTGTGTGAAATAATCCATTCTATCAGTTTCTAAGAGCCAATTATTCTTGACTACTATTTCTCTCATATCCTACCCCAAGTCTTCAGCAAATCCTATCAGGTTTTCCTTCAAAATAGATCTTGAATCTTACCACTTCTTACAACCTTCATTATTGTCACTCTGGTACAAATCCCCACCTTCTTTTCCTACATTATTATACTCCACATTTCACTCTTAACTGGTCTTACTGCTTCTACATTTGATCATATGCAATGATTTCTCCACAAAGCAGCCAAAATGTTTCATTTTAAGTGTAAGTCAGATCTTGTCACTTATCTCAGAACCTTTAGATGGTGTCCATTCTCGTTTGGAGTAAAAACCCAGGGTTCTTAACCATGGCCCACAGGGCCCTAAATAATCGAGCCCCTGTTACCTCTTTGATGTCAATATATATTTTACACACACACACACACATAAACTCACTTCCGTAGAGTCAATTCTGACTCATAGTGACCCTATACAACAGACTATAACTACCCCATAGGGTTTCCAAGTCCATAAATCTTTACAGAAGCACACTGCCACATCTGTCTCCCACAGAGTGGCTGATGAGTTTGAACCCCAAACTTTAGCAGCAGAGTGCTTTAACCACTGTGCAACCAAGGGTCCTCATATATATACATACATATACATGTTGTATATATAGAGAGAGAGAGACTAACTCCCCTTTGCTCACTATAAGCCATTGCTGTCAAGTCAATTTCAATTCATAGTGACCCTATACAACAGAATAGAACTGCCCCATAGTGTTTCCAAGGAGTGGCTGTTGGATTCGAACTGCTGTCCTTTTGGTTAGCAGCCGAGCTCTTAACCATCGCGCCACCAGGACTCCCTATATTCCAGTCAAATTTGCCTCCTTTGTACCTCACAGCCTGTCGCATCTATAGGAACATTTTGCCTCCAAATGTAAACACCTTCAGATGTCTGATCAATGTCAC